CTAAAACTACAGGTGCATGCCACCATGGCTGGATAATTTTATTTTTATATTTTTGAAAAGACAGGGTCTCATTATGTTGCCCAAGCTGGTCTTGAACTCCTGGCCTCAAGCAATCCTTTCACCTCCGCCTCCCAAAGTGTTACGATTACAGGCATGAGCTGCTGTGCCTGGCCTGATGTGCATTCTATATGTGCATTATATATATATATATATATATATATATATATATATAAAACAAGCCTCAATGTCTCATTGGAGGGTAACAGGAGGAGAAGTCCATGGAGGGGCTGGCCAGTCCTGGAGCCAGAGTGTGGGCCTTTCAGGAGGGATATCCCACCTGGTCTGCAGGACTGGAGACCAGCAGGGCTGAGGTGAGTCCTGGGCCACTCTGGCAGCAGAGGAGGTCAGAGCCAGTGACCCACACTGGGGATCCAAATACGAGGAAGCTTTAGAAGAGGGGAGTGTCCCCTCTGCTGTTGGCACTGACGACCTGAAGACCCATCTAAGTGCTCACTGATGACCGAGAGAACAAGGTGATGATGCCCATGACCTGGGCCGCCATGAGCCACTGCCCCTGGAGGTAGGGGGCCCCTCTAGAGGATGGCAGCCTATCTCATGGCCAATGATAACTTACCTGTGAGCTTGTTGGGGCTTGGGGGCTCTTCCTTGCACCCAATGACTTACATGCAAGGTTGCTGGTACAAGGAACTCTTTGCCAGGTTTCTGATTGGTGGCTGGAGTCATCTGATGGCCACTTCTGTCCTCTAAGCCCCACCTGCCCTTCTGAGGATGAGAGGATGGGCGTGGCCACTTATTGAAATATATTAAGTGCCAAAGGCTTTTTACTCACGATCTCTAAACCTTACAACCTTCCTTATAAACAAAGGAATTGATGTTCAGAGAGGCTGAGTGACTTTCCTAGGCCCACACAGCAAAGAAATGGTGAAGCCTGATTTGAACCCAGGTTCCTTCTTCAATGCAGAGCCTGCTCTTCCCTCTGGCTACCATCCTGTGTATTCAATGCTTTGAGCAGTTGCCTCAGTGGCAGGCTGGGCTGTGACATCTTCCCTGAGCCGCAGTCCCCTCATCTGTAAATTGGGATCACAAGAGTTGAGAAGGAGGTGCCTGGTGCCTGGCACAAAGCAGCACTTGACTACCCATGCCAGCCCCTCTGCATGACCTGCCTCTGGGTCAGACTCTGACCCTCTTTAAAAATCTCGGCAGTGGCTCACACCTGTAATCCCAGCACTTTGGGAGGCCGAGGCAGGCAGATCATGAGGTCAGGAGATCGAGACCATCCTAGCTAACATGACAAAACCACATCTCTATTAAAATACAAAAAATTAGCCAGGCGTGGTGGCAGACACCTGTAGCCCCAGCTGCTTGGGAGGCTGAGGCAGGAGAATGGCGTGAACCTGGGAGGCGGAGCTTGCAGTGAGCCGAGATCATGCCACTATACTCCAGCCTAGGGGACAGAGCGAGACTCCATCTCCAAAAAAAAAAAAAGAGGATGGGGGCAGTTCCAAGATGGCCGAATAAGAACAGCTCTAGGCTACAGCTCCCAGCATAACAGACACAGAAGACGGGTGAATTCTGCATTTCCACCTGAGGTACCGACTTCATCTCACTGGGACGTGTCAGACAGTGGGTGCAGAACAGTGGGTGCAGCCTATCAAGTGAGAGCCGAAGCAGGGCGAGGCATCACCTCACCCAGAAAGTGCAAGGGGTGAGGGAATTCCCTTTCCTAGCCAAGGGAAACTGTGACACACAGCACCTGGAAAATCGGGTGACTCCCACCCTAATACAGTGCTTTTCCAAGGGTCTTAGCAAACAGCACACCAGGAGATTACATTCCACGCCTGGTTCAGAAGGTCCCACACCCATGGGACCTCCCTCATTGCTAGCGCAACAGTCTGAGATCTAAGTGCAAGGCAGAAGCGAGGCTGGGGGAGGGGTGCCCACCATTGCTGAGGCTTGAGTAGGTAAAACAAAGCAGCCAGGAAGCTTGAACTGGGTGGAGCCCACTGCAACTCAAGGAGGCCTGCCTGCCTCTATAGACTCCACCTCTGGGGACAGGGCATAGCCAAATAAAAGGCAGCAGAAACCTCTGCAGATGTAAATGTCCCTGTCTGACAGCTTTGAAGAGAGGAGTGGTTCTCCCAGCACAAAGTTTGAGATCTGAGAACGGACAGACTGCCTCCTCAAGTGGGTCCCTGACCCCTGAGCAGCCTAACCGGGAGGCACCCCCCAGTACGGGGAGACTGACACCTCATATGGTGAGGTACCCCTCTGAGACGAAGCTTCCAGAGGAATGATCAGGCAGCAACATTTGCTGTTCAGCCATATTCATTCTTCTGCAGCCTCCGCTTCTGATACCCAGGCAAACAGGGTCTGGAGTGGACCTCAAGCAAACTCCAACAGACCTGCAGCTGAGGGTCCTGATTGTTAGAAGGAAAAATAACAAACAGAAAGGAATCCACACTAAAACCCTATCTGTACGTCACCATCATCAAAGACCAAAGGTAGATAAAACCACAAAGATGCAGAAAAAACACAGCAGAAAAACTGAAAATTCTAAAAACCAGAGTGCCTCCTCTCCCCCTCCAAAGAAACGCAGCTCCTTGCTAGCAACGGAACAAAGCTGGGTGGAGAATGACTTTGATGAGTTGAGAGAAGAAGGCTTCAGACGATCAAACTTCTCCGAGCTAAAGGAGGAAGTTCGAACCCATCACAAAGAAGTTAAAAGCCTTGAAAACAGATTAGACAAATGGCTAACTAGAATAACCAGTGTAGAGATGTCCTTAAATGACCTGATAGAGCTAAAAACCATGGCATGAGAACTACGTGATAAATGCACAAGCTTCAGTAACTGATTTGATCAACTGGAAGAAAGCATATCAGTGATTAAAGATCAAATGAATGAAATGAAGTGAGAAGAGAAGTTCAGAGAAAAAAGAGTAAAAAGAAATGAACAAAGCCTCTAAGAAATATGGGACTATGTGAAAAGACCAAATCTACATCTGATTGGTATACCTGAAAGTGATGGGGAGAATGGAACCAAGTTGGAAAACACTCTTCAGGATATTATCCAGGAGAACTTCCCCAACCTAGCAAGGCACAACAACATTCAAGTTCAGGAAATACAGAGGACGCCACAAAGATATTCCTCAAGAAGACCAACTCCAAGACACATAATTGTCAGATTCATCAAAGTTGAAATGAAGGAAAAAATGTTAAGGGCAGTCAGAGAAAGGTCGAGTTACCCACCAAGGGAAGCACATCACACTAACAGTAGATCTCTTGGCAGAAACACTACAAGCCAGAAGAGAGTGGGGGCCAATATTCAACATTCTTAAAGAAAAGAATTTTCAACCCAGAATTTCATATCCAGCCAAACTAAGCATCACAAGTGAAGGAGAAATAAAATCCTTTACAGACAAGCAAATGCTGAGAGATTTTGTCATCACCAGGCCTGCCCTACAAGAGCTCCTGAAGGAAGCACTAAACATGGAAAGGAACAACTAGTACCAGCCACTGCAAAAACATGCCAAAATGTAAAGACCATCGATGCTAGGAAGAAACTGCATCAACTAACAAGCAAAATAACCAGCTAACATCATAATGACAGGATCAAATTCACATATAACAATATCAACCTTAAATGTAAATGGGCTAAATGCTCCAATTAAAAGACACAGACTGGCAAATTGGATAAAGAGTCAAGACCCATCAGTGGGCTGTATTCAGGAGTCCCATCTCACGTGCAGAGACACACATAGGTTCAAAATAAAGGGATGAAGGAAGATCTACCAAGCTAATGGAAAACAAAAAAAGGCAGGGTTTGCAATCCTAGTCTCTGACGAAACAGACTTTAAACCAACAAAGATCAAAAGAGACAAAGAAGGCCATTACATAATGGTAAAGGGATCAATTCAACAAGAAGAGCTAACTATCCTAAATATATATGCACCCAATACAGGAGCACCCAGATTCATAATTCCTAAACAGTACAATTGTGAATTAGCGATGAGCATATTTTTGAAAGTTCTTTAAGAGATTCAAGCAAGCACCCAGGTTTGAGAGCCATTGACACCAGGCAATCCTGTCACTCACAGATGAAGCCGTTAAGACATCCAGATCAGTCCGAGCTGACAGTCACTGCACACTTGCGGATGTGCCAGGGGTACTGCTGGTTGTTATGACCACCATCTTTTCTCATTGGTCAGTGGCCATCCTGTGTCCATAATGATGGTTAGTGTCCATGATGAAAATTTCAAATACAATTATATTTTGCAGCTAATAAGGAGTAACATTGAATTAGCCCTCAGAATCTTCCTGCCATGAAGTCAGTTGTGTGTTCTCTGCATTCTCTGACCCTCACTTTTTGTGTAGAGTTTTGTGTATCACCTGATGAATAGAACAAAACTTGTTTGTGCCCATTAAACAGGTAGTTCATGTTTTTGAAAGATAAGCATTATCTTTCCTTTATCACTTCTAATAATTCAACTCTGTAGTCCTGATCAGTGTGGCTTACAAACTGGAAGACAAAAGACATTTTAAAAAACCTAATACCTAAGTTAGTTTTTGAAGCTATTAATATTGCTAAAATTATTGCTATAGAAAAGAGAAAAAAGCATGCTGAATAGAACTCTGTTCTTAGAGATTTCTCCTGAAAAAGTCACATGTTATTTCTTCTCACCTCCATTGGCAAAAAAAAAAAAAAAAAAAAAAAAAAAAAAAGCTATGTTGTCATGCAAAAATTTAAGTAGGTGGGTTGGAATACTCAGAATGCATTCATAAAAATGGAACTGAAAATATTTGGAGGACAGCACCAATGACTATCATGAATGCCAACATGCATCCCTGACAAACCCATGCTGTTACTCTCCAAACTTTTTATGTCTCGCAAAGTATTAGAACTTCCTATCTGAAGCCATACCACTCAGAGGGATTGCAAAATACATAAAAGACATCTCCTTTAGGATGTCCTTAGATAATTCAAGGAAAAGAAGTTAAATAATTCAAAAAGTGCTTTTGGGTACAGCTATTTAGCAGTAGGGGATAAGATTAGAGATAGATTGTAAAGATAATAGTAGGGTTAGGGTTAGGATTAGGGTCTGGGTCAGAGTCAGGGCCGGAAGTATGGTTAGAGGTGGGGTCATGGTCAGGGTCAAGATCAGAGTCAGGGTCAAAGTCAGGGTCAGAATTAGGGACCAGGGTAGGGATCAGGGTTTAGGGTCAGGGTCAAAGTCTAGAGACAGGATTGGGGTTAGGATTAGAACCAGAGATTTGTTCTCCTCAGGAACCACCAGAGAAGAGGCCATGGCTTTGGAGCACCTGGTAGTGTGTCCACAGTGAAGACCAGAATTTCATTGTCCTCAAGACTGACCTGGGGAGATGTGGCTGCGGGCCAGTGAGGAAGGTGAGGCAAAAGCTTCCTGTCTGCTCCCTGGGTGCTAAAGGGAGCTCTGCCATGGGCTTTACTTCACAAGTTATATCCTGCAAGTCTTGTTTTACAAAAGCATCCCTTCCTCGAGGCTTTGGTTGCTCATCATCACAGCGTGTCATAACATGTGGTAAGATTTGGGTTTGCTTCAGCGGGGAGATCTTGGTACAGAGAAAGGAGCAATGCTTAGAGCCACTATCAGGACAGTTGGGATGAAAGCTGGGGATGGGCAGAGGCTGGAGGAAACATGTGCACCCCCTGTAAACACTTTTATTCATGTTTTCGTTACTCATTTTTCTTACAGTGTTAAAGTAGTAAAAATGGTATTGAAAAATTGAAAAGTAGGCATATTAAAACTTGCAACATTATTTAAGTTTAAATATATTATTTGTACCTCATCAACATTTTTTATTTTGTTGAGAAAGTCTAAGGTTAATTGGTAGCATATTTTAATAGTAGATAGAATAATGTCTGTTTTATAAACATTGACATCCTACACTACATGTGTCAACCCTGAAAATCTGAGACAGGTCTCAGATTTTTTAGAAAGTTTATTTTGCCAAGTTTGAGGATGCACCCCTGATGCCTCTGCAGGAGGTCCTGACAACACCGGCCCAAGGTGGTCAGGGCCCAGCTTGGTTTTACACACTTTAGGGAGACGTGAGACATCGATCAATATGTGAAAGATATACCTTGGTTCAGTCCAGAAAGGTGAGACAACTTGAAGAGAAGGCCAGACAGGGAGCTTCCAGGTCATAGGTAGGTAAGACACAAATGGTTTCATTCTTTTGAGTTGCCGGTTACCCTCTCCCGATGAGGCACTCAGATATACATTTCTCTGGGTGAGCAGACGGGTGACTTTGGACAGAATGGGAGGTGGGTTTGCCCTCAGCAGCCCCAGCTTGACTTTTCCCTTTAGCTTAGTGATTTTGGGTCCCCAAGGTTGATTTTCCTTTCACAAGGTCTACTATGGTTTCCTATGAGCACTAAGTATTCATTGGGTATTTTATTACACAAGGCACGGATTTTAAAAAAATCATCAACTTCATGACTAGCTCTATAGACATAACAACATAGAGGTTCAACTAAATTTGGAAACATTCCAGAGTTTTGGTTTCTAATACTTCTTTGTGATTCTTTAAAAGGTAAAGTATTTTTTTTCTGTAAAGCATAGTAACATCTAAAATCACCCGTAGAATGTCCTGCCATTTTTTTTCTCTAGTTTTCCCATTTTCTGCAAAGCCTCATTGAGGAAATTGACTTTTAATATCCTTTTACACGCTTTTGTTTTAGAAAGCTTTGTGGTAAAACATTGAATCTTCATGGTCACAAGTTCTGTTCACATTCTTTCTTTCTTTGAATATTTTTTTTCCAGTGGCCAATATTTGATTCTGTTGTATTACGGCTAAAAGGTAGGCATGGAACAAAATAAAGACAAGAAGTCTTTGGAAGAAGTGATCCAGTCACAATTAATCAATTTGCCATTGGAACATATTTTTACAAAGTCACTCTTTTGAAAATATTTAGTTATGAATTGAAACAGAGTCTGGTAGGTTATTTTTTTTTTCCTGGTCTGAGGTGAACAGCATTTTAGAGAATGAACCCAGGACACAACCGCAGCACAAGAAAAAAATGTGATAAATAAGTTTACACATATGCGTTACCACTGTAACAGAAAACATGTAAAGAACATTTATTTTGATTTATATATCAGTCTGCATTAATTTTTTTGTGTCATAAATGCTCTTATTTAAAAAACAGGACTAGTTAACAGTGTCAATTACTAGCAATTCATGGTATAAATAATTAAACAAGGAAGTGTTCAAAAATATAACAATGTTTCAAATACAGTTATATTTTATAGCAGTTTTTGACTTACACAGAAATTGCAAAAAAGAAAAATTGCAGAGATTTCCCTTGTAGCTTCAACCTACTTTCCTCTCTTATTAACATCTTCTGTCAGTGTGTCTCACATGGTTTATTAATATCTTACATAATGTGTCACAGTTAATGATAGATTATTAATGATAAATACTGATAGATTATTATTAACTAAAATTCATATTTCATTTGGATTCCCTTAGTTCCATCTTACCCCGACCCATCCAGGATCCTGCATGACATGTAGTCATCACGTAGGAGGCTCCTGGATGTGACAGCGTGTCCGGCTTTCCATCTCATGATGACCTTGACAGTGTTGAGGAGGATTGGTCAGGAATTTTGTAGAATGTCCCCCATTGTGATTAAACATGGAATTTTTCTTATAATTAGACTGGGGTTATGGGTCTGGAAGAAGTAGATCACAGAGGTGAAGTGCTACTCTTGTCACTTCATTCTCTCAAGGTGAACTGTCGCCTTTGATGTTCACTTGGATTGTTCGGCGGAGCTAGTTTGTCAGGTTTCTCCACTGTGACGTTATTTTTCCTCCTTGTCCATACTGCCCGTGTTCTTTCGGAGCAAGTCACTATGCGGAGCCCACACTTACAGAGTGAGGAGCTCCACCTTCTTGATGGCTGACTGTCTACCTCAATTATTTGGAATTCTTTTGCAAAGGATATTTCTATTCAACTCCATTTGCTTATTCACCTATGTATACAAACACAGACATCTAGATAATTACTTAAAGCTTTAGTTACTATTCAGCACTACAGCATTATGTTGCACAATTCATTCCTGTGTTGGTCATGGGTAGCTCTTTTTATTGGCTCCTGTTTTTCTTTCAATAAAAGAATTAATTTTTATTTATTTTTATTACATATTTTAATTTTTTTTTCGTACATACTTACTTTCTGATACTTCAAGATTATCCTGGCTCATATATTTACTGTCCCAGTTCTAGTACCAGACATTTCTTCAAAGAGCCTGATTCCTTTGAGAATGGTAGGAAAACTTACATCTGACTGCTGAATGAGCACATTGTATCTTGTCTGTCCTTAGCAATGCTAGGAAGTATATGTGTGCATCTAACAGACCTATACACCCCTAATTATAAAGGTTTCTATGTGGAACTGTTTGTATCTATATTAAACCAAATGTAAGTTTATGTTGATGTCTCCACCTCTGATCTACTATCACATGAATCATTCTAGCCTTCTCCCCTTGCTGATTTGTAACCTCCCACTTCAACAGTGAGAGACCTTGTTCCTACCATCTGCAACTTATGTAAGTCATTGTTTTATTCCAGATACAGATACTGTGGTTTTACAATTGTTCACAATTACTCCTGTTGGAAAGAACTTTATAAAATGGAATCCAGTGATGAAGTGTAGTTCATTTGCCTTCAGCCTACAGAATCGATTCATTTTTGAAGTGACTTAGGTCAACACCATTTTCCCTACACCTTCATTGAGTTTTTTCCTACATTTGTGTCTTAGTCCACTTTGTGCTTCTATAACAGAATACCTGAGGCTGGGTAATTTATAAGTAAAAAAGGTCCATTTGGCTCACAATACTGGGGGCTGGAATGTCCAAGATTAGGCAGCTGCATCTGGTGGGGCCTCAGTCTTTTTCACCTCATGGTGGAAAGTGGAAGGGGAGCAAGGAGTGCACCAGAGATCTTATAGCAAGAGCGACAGCAGGAGGGAAGCCAAAGAACTCAGACTCTTGTTAACTCCTACTCCTGCAGGAATTAATCCATTCCTGTGAGAGCAGAACTCACTCATCCCCATGGAGGACATTAACCTATTCATGAGGAATCCATCCTCATGAACCAAACACCTTCCACTGGGCCCCACCACCCCACACTGCCACACTGGGGGTCAAATTTCAACACGAGTTTTTGCAGGGACAAACCACACCCAAACCATAGTAATTTGTAGTATAGTTAATTTCTTTTTCACATGATGTATTCTGTGTTGGGATACTCCATATCCTGAATAACTTTATTTAATTTGAATAGAGTTTGGCTTACCCGTTTGGCTGTAAAATTCTGTGTGTTTTGACAAATGCATAGTGGCCGGTATCCACTATTAAAGTATCATATGGAATGCTTCAAACCCCCACCCCATGGAGCCAATGGCTTCCCATCTGTGTAGTTTGCCTTCTCCAGAGTCTCATTAAATGAAGTCACACTGTGTGTATTCTCCTCAGACTGTCTTCTTCCACTTAGCAATGTGCATGCAAGATTCACTAAAGTCTTTGTGTGAGTTGGTAGCTTGTTCCTTTTTACGGCTAAATAGTATTCCATTGCATGAATGTACCACAATTTGGTTATGCATCTGGGGAGAAAAACCTTCCTCTTCTAACTTTGTTCCAGGGTTGGAGACCTTCAAATTAACTGACAATAGATACATTAATAGGAGAGACAATATTTGGCTTCTTATTCCACAAGTATCATTGTAGGACAAAATTCATCAGATGGCAGGATCCAGTTTACAAACAGGTAAAAATAGCCCAAAGACAAGAAACTAGACTAGAATCTGATAACTCACAAAGGCTACAGATTTCCTTTTATTTATTTAAATTTTTTATTATACTTTAAGTTCTAGGGTACATGTGCACAACGTGCAGGTTTGTGATGTAGGTATACATGTGCCATGTTGCTTTGCTGCACCCATCTACTCATCATTTACGTTACGTATAGTTTTCCTCAAAAAAGGTTTTTTTGAGACAGGGTCTGGCTCTGTCTCCCAGGCTGGAGTGCAAAGGTGCAATCTCAGCTCACTGCAACCTCTACCTCCTGGGTGCAAGTGATCCTCCCTCCTCAGCCTCCTGATTAGCTGGGACTACAGGCACATGCCATCATGCCCATCTAATTTTTCCATTTTTAGTAGACACGAGGTTTCACCATGTTGCCCAGGCTGGTCTTGAACTCCTGGCCTCTCAAAGTGCTGGAATTATGGGCATGTGCCCCCACACCCATCCAACTTATAGTTTTCCATTGAAACATAAAATTTATCTCCATAGTAACCATCATTTTTGATCATAGATAATCAAAGTAAGATTATTCTTGTTTCAAAAATAAGTCTAGCCTTGTTAGATTTTGCCTGATCATTTATGTAAGTGCAGCAAGAACAAGAGTTGACCACATAGGTGCTTTCAAGCTTCCTTGCTGCAAATTTTCCTACAGAATCTCCGATTGGACTTTTAAAGGCCTTATTGAGGCTAAAAGCCAAGCCAAGAACATACTATCAAATTTCAGCTGCAGTCCTTATAGCTTCGTGTGAATTCCTTTCTGCTTGAGGCCCTCAAAATAGCCCCAAATTCCTGGGCCAATAAGGAAATGACCTTCCTTACTAATCTGTAAGGCTGTGAACCCCATAATCTAGGTATCAGACTGGCTTTTCTCAGAGTGCTTTGTAAGCATTGACTCCATAAAAGTCAACCTTAGTTCCTTACAATTGCTGGTCATAACTAGTCCGAGGTATACTTCCTAAATATGATATTTCAGTAAAAGCCTTGATAATATAGCCAAAGTTTCCAATTATGTCCTGTTACAAGGTGAACAGATTCTTACTGGACTTTTGCTAACAACTATATTGTCATGAAAGTAAGAGTATTCAGTAAGAATTTCAAAATTCTAGAGGAATCAGGTGGGGAAAAAAAGATAAATGCTCCATTTCTGTTTACAAAAGCATAATCTACTAAAATTGTTGTGAGTTAGAGTTAGCTTAAGAGTGGCCAGGTGTGGTGGCTCACGCCTGTAATCCCAGCACTTTGGGAGTCTGAGATGGGTGGATCACGAGGTCAGGAGATCAAGACCATCCTGGCTAACATGATGAAACCCCGTCTCTACTAAAAAATAAAATAAATTAGCCTGCGTGGTGGCGGGCGCCAGTAGTCCCAGCTACTCGGGAGGCTGAGGCAGGAGAATGGTGTGAACCCGGGAGGCAGAGCTTGCAGTGAGCCCTCCAGCCTGGGTGACAGAGCGAGACTCCATCTCAAAAAAACAAGAGTTAGCTTAAGAGAAAGAGATTTCTTTTTTTTCTTTTTTTTAGAGACTGAGTGTCGCTCCGTCTCAATTTCTCAATGTAGTGGGCAAAAACATGTTTATTAACAGGCCAAAATATCTAGTTTCTCTGTAAAAATAAGAAGCCAAAAGTATATAAACTTGAATTACTTATGTTCAGTAATTAATGTTTTAGTATTATATCTTATTTATAAATGATGTAGATATTTAATGGAAATATTTTACTTAGCTTAACTTTAAGGTTAAAAATTACCAAAAGTATTTTGGAAACTACTATTAGGCAGATTTACTGTAAAAAACTTATTATTGAGATAATGTTTTTCGCTTTTCACAAGATGGCACCAAAAACGAAGGAAGCTCCTGCCCCTCCTAAAGCCGAAGCCAAAGCAAAGGCTTTAAAGGCCAAGAGAGCAGTGTTGAAATGTATCCACAGCCCCCCCAAAAAAGAAGATCTGCACCTTACCCACCTTCCAGCATCCCCAGACACTGCAACTCTGGAGGCAGCCCAGATATCCTGGGAAGAGCGCCCCCCGGAGAAACAAGCTTGACCTCCATGCTATCATCAAGTTTCCACTGATCACTGAGTCAGCCATGCAGAAGACAGAAGACAACAACTTGCTTGTGTTCACTGTCGATGTTAAAGCCAACAAGTACCGGATCAAACAGACTGTGAAGAAGCTCTGGGACGTGGATGTGGCCACGGTCAACATCCTGATTCGGCCTGATGGAGAGAAGAAAGCATATGTTCAACTGGCTCCTGATTACGATGCTTTGGATGAAGTCAACAAACTTGGGATCATCTAAACTGAGTCCAGCTGGCTGATTCTAAATAGATGTATATCTTTTCACCATGAAAAAAAAGGAAATAATGTTTTTCATATGAATGACAACTTAAAATCTTTAAGCTTATAGATTGATTCTAATTATCTAGTAAGTATAATATTAGCTTCTCGTAAGCACGCAAGCAGAATAGAAACTTGTTTGTTGGCTGGGCACGGAGACTCACACCTATAATCCCAGCACTTTGGGAGGCTGAGGAGGGCCGCAAGCAGAAGCCGTGAAACTTGTTTGTTGGCTGGGCACGGAGACTCACACCCAGGTCCCAGCACTTGGGAGGCTGAGGAGGGCAGATCACGAGGCTTTAGGAGATCAAGACCATCCCGCTAACACTGTGGAACCCTGTCTCTACTAAAAATACAAAAAAAATTAGCTGGGCGTGGTGGCAGGTGCCTGTAGTCCTGGTTACTCGGGAGGCTGAGGCAGGAGAATGGCCTGAACCCAGGAGGCGGAACTTGCAGTGAGCCGAGATTGCACCACTGTACCACAGCCTGGGTGACAGAGAGGAGACTACATCTCCAAAAAAAAAAAAAAAAAAAAGAAGAAAAAAAAGAAACTTGTTTGTTTTATATTTAATAGTGGTAACTCTGAAGACATAGTTGTTTTATTACACAAAAATATTAAATCTGTCTTATTTAACTAAGTTGGGATCCAAACCATGTTAACTTGAAAAACATTTGATTGGTTTCCTATATTTCTAGGAGTTTGGGGAATATTTATTTATCAATGATTTTTTTTTCCAAGCCAAGTTAGAACAGAACACTTTTAGAGGATTTTATAAATGAATTTTGCAGTGCTATCCAGAGTTTAAAAAAATCACATAAACAGAACATACATTAATAGACATACAAACACAAATAGAGATCTCATAGCTTTCATCCTGAAGGCGAGCTTGAATCAGACATAAATATTCTGATGGTTAATTTTAGATGTCTGCTTGCATGGATTAAGAGATACTAACATAGCTGGTAAGGCATAGTTTCTGGGTATAAGTGTGAGGGTGTTGGAAGATAATGAGATAAGGAAGATCCACCGACCTAATGTGGATGGGTACTGATACGGTCTGACTGTGTCCCCACCCAGATCTCATCTTGAATTGTAGTTCCTATGATCCCTACATGTTGTGGGAGGGACCTGGTGGGGGACTATTGAATCATGGTGGTGGTTACTGCCATGCCTGCCTCATGATAGTGAGTGAGTTCTCATGAGATCTAATGGTTTTATAAGGGGCTTTTCCCTTTGGCTTAGCACTTCTTTTGCTGCTGCCATGTGAAGAAAGACATCTTTGCTTCCCTTCCATCATACTGTGAGGCCCTCCAGCCATGTGGAACTGTCAGCCCATTAAACCTCTTTTGTTCTTATAAATTGCTCAGCCTCAGGTACTTCTTCATAGCAGTATAAAAATAGACTAATACAGGCACCATCCAATTGCTTGAGAGCCCAGATAGAACAAAAAGGAAGAGGAAAGGTGAATTATCTACTTCTGAAACTGAAACATCCTTCTCTTGCCTTTGACATCACAACTTCAGTGTCTCAGGCCTTTGGCCTCAGAATGAGAGTTACACCATTGGCTTAATCTCGATTCTGAGTCCTTTGACATGGACTGAGCAATGCTACCAGATTTCTGGTTCCCCAACTTGAGAGACAGCTCATTGTGGACTTTCAGCCTTCATAATTATGTGAACTCCTCTCATCTGTCTATCTACATATATCCTACGGATTGTGCCTTTCTGGGGAACCCTGACTAATGTGATGACACAATACAAAAATACAAAATTCACTAGTTTATATAGAAGACTTGGCTTTGTCTTTACCCCATTTTATGTTTGTATTAGAACTGTGTTTCTGGAAATGGAACAAGTTTTTGTTCTCTTCATATGAGGGCTAAAGCTTTTTTTCACCAATGTTTTTGGAGATTTTTAAGATTTTCAAGATTTTCTTTTGACATATAATCATATGAAGCTGAGAATTAAATTTGTTTCTATTTTTCTATTTTATTTTTCAGCCTTAGGTGTTTGCTTTTGCAGATCCTTGAGCATATTGAGAGCCTCCAAGGCATGGAGTGGGTGCCTAAAGTTTGTGTGATTAAAAGAACTGTTAAAGTTCTAACAATTTGGTAAAGTCATGCAAACAGGAAAGGAAGTAGACAGAATTAGTTCCATATTGGTGGAACACACAGTCAGCAGAGGTTTGAGAAGGGAGAATTTAGTCAACTGAGAAGTTCTCTGAAAGGAGCAAGACCAAGATCATGACACACTGTGAACAAAAAGCCAGGAATAACTGCCAACCTCAAGAGGAGAACAGAGAGGCCTCAAAACCAAAAGCTAGATAAGAAAATTCTAGCCCAAGAGTTACCTTTCAGACAAAGAAGCCTGAGATTCCAACCCAGCTTCAGAGAGTACCACTCAAATGTTACTCAAACTGTAGGCTTTTTAATGACTTAGCCATGCATGCAAAAGGCATTTCCTAAGGTGGCACAGAAGATGGAGCCCCCATATCCAAAGATAGTCAAGGAGAAAGAAAGACCCCAGTTGCCAGAGCCAGTGGGCAAAGGCAACAGAGAAAGAGACAAAGGTCCCCAAGGGATGAGACCTTGCAGATTTAGACTTATACAAACTCCTGAGAACTGTGTGATGACAGCTATAAATGGGGTACCAACATTTCTACTCATTGGATTACAAGTTCTCAGGCATCCAAAATGATTAACAAAATGGAGATTTCTAGGGCTTCTGTGGGAGAGTATGGAAGGTCTTTTTTGAACTTTCTTTTAATGCTGTCAACTGAAGAATGATGAGCTTCATAAATTCGGAAAGGAGCGATTTCATTACGTTTTTGTTTTTTTGAGTCGGAGTTTCACTCTTGTTGCCAATATCCTGCCTCATCCTCCCAAGTAGCTGGGACTACAGCCACCATGCCCAGCTATAATTTTTAGTAGAGACGGGGTTTCACCATGTTGGCTGTGATGGTCTTGATCTCTTGGTCTCAGGTGATCCATCCGCCTCGGCTTCCAAAGTGCTTGATTATAGTGGCATGAGCCACTGCACCCAGTGATAGATTTATTTCTGTAAAGGGTTGCAGCCTGCAGGATAGTCCTGACAGGCTAGGAAGCATAACCTCCAGCCAGAAGTCAGAAACAGACACTTCAAGGGAGAGGTAAAGGAAATAGTAATTTATACTGAGTGGCATGGCCAACACACATATTTAATAAGCTCTAGGAGGAGTCATGCATATTTCTGAAAGGAGAAATGCATACATGCGCAATTGAGTTTCTTGCTCCTTCATGGGGTCCAATGTACAAAAATGGCAGTGTTAACATGATCCCAGGTGGAGTTTTCAGCCCTCTGACAGCAGTGGTGCTGAAGCAGAGGATATGAAACTCTCGCTCTGTGCATCCTGTGTACGCTGTCCAGAACCTCTCCATCATGGGTGTGTCCCTTATTAGGCAAGAGAGGAGAGGCAGCTTCAGGCAGTTGGTTGAAATCAGTGGTGGGAGTTCCTTTGAAAGGCTTGTTTCTGTTAAACTTAGGAAGAAAGCCTCATCATGCATAGCAAAGGAGGGGATATAATGATGTATCTGACCCCTGGTTATCCTATCATGCCCAACTTGTAATAGGGGAGGAAAATAATTTTCTCTCTACCTTACAGAATTCTAAGATGGGACCTCTGTAAATCTGAGAACTCAGTTTGAAAGTCACTCAGATCCCCTCAACCAAGAGTGGGTCTGTTCAGTCAGTTGGGAGCTTAGGATTCTCATTTTCATTTATCAGTGCTAATGGGAATGTGAAGGTCTTCCTGGCAGCTGAATTTGAAAGAAACTCTTTGGATGGGGTTAATGGCAGCTGTATTTTGGGAGCTCTGCTTTTTAACTCAGATAAAGTTCTGGTAAGATTTCTTTCTTTATCTTCGGTATCTCAAATGTTTTCATTTAAATAATCTTTATAACAACTCTTTTTTTTTTTTTTTTTTTTTGAGACAGAGTCTTGCTCTTGTTACCCAGGCTGGAGTGCAGTGGCATGATCTTGGCTCACTGCAAGCTCCACCTCCCAGGTTTATGCCATTCTCCTGCTCAGCCTCCCAAGTAGCTGGGTCAGCAGGTGCTCACCACAACTGCCAATTTTTTTGGTATTTTTTTTAGTAAAGACAAGGTTTCACCATGTTAGCCAGTATGGTCTCAATCTCCTGACCTCGTGATCCACCCTGCCTCGGCCTCCCAAAGTGCTGGGATACAGGCATGAGCCACCGTGCCTCACCTCTATGACAACTCTTGATGTCTGAGTAGGTTCCCACACAGTCATCTGTTGTAAGACTTTCTGATTCCTTTTTTCCTTTGGTCATTATGAATAGGGCTTGCAATATAATTGCATGGTAGCTTTTGTTTGGAAATAATATCAAAGTAGCTGTCAAAATACTTAAGTGAATGTGATTTCTTGATTGTAAGGTGAGACTTGTTTAGCTTTTGGGAAAACTGCCCAACTTGTAATAGGGAGGAAAATAATTTTCTCTGTTTTATGGAATTCTTAGATGGGACCCTCTGTAACAAATTACAGATTAAAATGAGAAAAAAGTAGGCAAGTTTAAAAACATGAGTAAATCCCCAACAGGTGGCTTTCAATTCAAGAGTAAATGTTATTCTTAACTTAAAGAAAGAAGAGTTGAGGCTCAGTAGTGGGGAGGTAATGCCAAAGCACAGTAGACAAGGGTAAGTTTTCTGTTGTACTGAACCCATGCTCTCTGTTGATAAGACTTTAGTGATTTAGTCATCCTTCTCTTCTCTTTACAGCTAGAGAGAGAGAGAGAGAGAGAGAGAGAGATCTTTTAAATGGGGATTTCGTTTATAGATGTAAATTTTCCTTACACAAGGGTAACTTCTACTCTGTTTTCAGAACTTCATTTTTTAGCATTTTTTCAGAGTCATCAGCTCAGAATAGTTCTTATGCCAAAGGGACATATTT